TATCACCACCACAGCATCTGTTTGGACCACCCTCCCCAGCTTTATTGAGAGTCAGTTTGGTATAGTGGTTAGGAGCGCAGACTCTAATCTGGGAGAACTGGGTTTGATTCCCCACTCCTTCACATGCAGTTGCTGGTGTGACCTTGGGTCAGTCATAAGTTCCCTTAGAGCTGTTCTCTCAAGAGCAGTTCTCTTAGAGCTTTCTCAGAACCACCTACCTCACAGGGTGTCTGTGGTGGGGAGGGGAAGGGGAAGGGGAAAGGGATTGTGGGCCACTCTGAGACTCCTTCTGGTAGTGAAAGGCGGGGTTTAAATCCAAAGTACTACTACTACTACTACTCCTTGGTACGTTTCACCATTCAAATACCTTCAGTGTCCACTTTTGTGCATAGAATGTCTTTTTCCTTGGGTCTAGAACTGTTCCTCACATAGTCCTTCGGTTCAAGGAATAGGTACTACTACTACTACTACTCCTTGGTACGTTTCACCATTCAAATACCTTCAGTGTCCACTTTTGTGCATAGAATGTCTTTTTCCTTGGGTCTAGAACTGTTCCTCACATAGTCCTTCGGTTCAAGGAATAGGTAGATGGCCCTTCCCCCTAGTTTAAAGCGGTATTTGAAACTATGATGTACTCAGTTTGGCTAAATGGGCTTGTTTTAGCTTTATTAACCTTAAAGTAGGGCAGCCAGTTTTATTCCTGTACGCGTTTCTTTCCTTCTATATCGATAATAGTAGAAACGACTATTAAGAAGCTTGTAGGCATGATGATCCCTGCCTTATCTTTATGTGTTATCGGTTAGTGTTATGGCATCCTGTATCTCCCTTTCCCTTTGTAGTTTTTGTAGTAATAAAACAATGCAAATGAAAAAATAAAAAAAGATGACCCTTCCTCCCAGTAGCTAGCCCAGTGCGCTGGCAACTTTTGGGTTAAGAATAATCTCTTAATAAATCCATGCGTTATCTTGTTCCGGTTAATTTTAAACCTTAGAATGAGTTTTTTGAGATTTGGAATTGAACTTATCACAGGGTGATCGGGGAGAACCAGGGCCAGCTGGCCTTCCTGGTTCCATCGGTGCTCCGGGAACTCCGGGACCAGTTGGGGCTACAGGCGATCCAGGACAAAGAGGTGAACCAGTAAGTACAGCCATTCCATTGTTCTTTTTAAAGCTCTGTTAGATGGCTCTGATTTCTTGCTTATTGTGATAAATAGCATACACAGGATGATACAGTCAGGGGTAATCTCGTAGAAAAAGAGGTGCAGGAGCTCATTAGCATAACTCATTACCATAACTTATTTGCATATGCCACACCCCCTGACATCACTGGAAGTGTGTCAGAAGGCAACACCCTCTGCTCAGGCTCCACTGGACTGTTTTGGATTGCTAGCTATTGCGGGGGGGGGGCATGCAGATCTGTCCTCACAGAGGAGGAAGAGCTTGGACCTGAATAAAACTTGGTCTTAAAGGTGCTGCTGGACTGTTTTGGACCGGGGGGGGGGGGGGTGCGGCACGCTTC